TGTTTCTAATCATAAATGCCCAATTAAAAGAAAATTATACATAAACCACTTCAAGCCCGTTCAGAAATTTCTATGTCGCTCAACATAAGCCGCACCTGTCTCGGTAATCTGACACATCACCCCCACAGATTAAAAACTCAACTCTTATCCCACCACGCGTGAAATTAAATTTATTTAGGGCCCACTCCACATCATGCAGCGTGTCAGCGTTATTTACATAAAGAATAGTATGAGAGAACGCCAGCCCATATTTATATAGCGCCATCGCTAGCTGTTTATTGAAATATTTCATTGTTAATTCTCTAAACGACGTCTCGTTTGAGGGGGATCCAAAGGGCATGATGTATGAGGCTGAATGCAGCATTAATAGTGTTTATTAAAATAACAATATCTATTCCCGGTCGTGCATTCTTGTTCTATACCTGATGGAAACGAAAAAAATTATCAAGATGTCCGAATGGAATGGTCCGGATGGAAAGGATAAGCCACAGGACAAGGAGATATACACGTAGTTGTACGTGGCACTGATAATGTTGGCATAGGTCGAGAAATGGCGTCCTTCAGATAAGGTGCCGAGATAAAACACAGGAAACGACAACTGACGAATATTATTACCTGGAGTAATATATTTTTTTTAATAACACCACAAATGTTTATTCTTCAGTAACAAATACTGTAAAGAAATATTAAGAATAATGGGGAAAAAAGTAATGTATTAATTAATTTAAATAAAGAAGATTCTATATTTGATTGATACCTATTTCTTATATTATAGAATTTACTATTAGTTTTACAATAATAATAATAACAATGTAAATGGGTTTAATCACCCCCAAATATTATATTTAAGTATGTTTTAAAATAAGAAACGCCTTACCGTAAGTCGGTCCTGTGTTACTTAGTTTCCATGGTTATTATAATTATAATTGTTTAAGATTTTACGGCCCATATTCTCTCTTAAAAAAATAATAATGATATAATGATTTGTAAATTGTAATACAAAACGAATGTATGCTTGCTACGTATCACTAACATTAAATTCGAAGCAATGCACGGTTTAATCGATATGGATTATAAGAAATTAGTTATTTTATCGCGTGAGGAGGTGTCTAGACGAAACTTTATACTACACCGATGTATCAGGTTACTGTGGTAACTTGTTTTTTATTCTGTTCACCCACCCACCGCATCTCTAGCCGTGAAACATTAAACTACACTTGAGTATCTTTTTACAACGGATGCTGTAATATTTCAACCCAATATTATTTGTCTAAGATGTCATGGAGAAGTAATTCGGAAACTACCTACACCGCTGGCTATTTGCCTGTTACGTGACGTAATTTGATCAGATATTCTTGCCATTACTAAAATTACCTTTGATTATTATTATAAACTATTATTATTCGATGATCTCATTTTTTTGTACAGCAAAATTTATTGTTGGGTACAGAGTTTTATCTACCTAATATTACGCACTATTTCAACCTGAAAATTTATATTAATAAAAAGACGAGCAATATCGTACACATAACAACTGGATGACTTTAGAACTTAAAGGGTGATAGAAACAGTTGTTTATAGGGATCGTATTTGAATGGGACACAATAGGTACTACAGAATTCAGAAGGACTGAAAAGCTTTAACGTCTTTAAAACGCTTTATGAGGTTTTAGTGAATGTAGACAATACAGTAGTGGATATTATTTATTCAATTAAAAATACGAAAGCCACAGCTGACAATTACTTTACTGCTCAGTTTGTCTAGTTTAATTTACGTGAATAGATGAAGAAAACACAGTTTTGCGCCTACGCTCTTATAAGCGGTGACCGTTTGCTGCAGGAACAATGCACTCGCGTGGGTTTGCGAGTACAGTCAAGAGCAATAATATAGCGAATATAACAATTGTAATAAAATCACAATTTGTCTCGGAGAGATTACAATACCATAAAATGTAGAAACTATAACCATTTAACAATATGACATCTAATCCTTTATTAATGCAGTGCTAAGCATTTTCACATAATTTGTAATAATGAGTACGAATAAAAATTGTTCATTGCTCCTAACCCCACTTTGTAAGTAGGTTTATAAAAACAAATAAGTTATATTATTCTACAGAAAATAGACTTTAATCGGGACAAAATCAGTAACGGTAACGGGAGTAAATTAGTCCAATCCAGAAATAAAGTAAACTTAATACAATTACAAAAGTAATAATATAAATTAGTATAGAATTGGCTAAGATATCGCGACATATGTATATACAATAATGTATACATACTTAATTATTATAAAGTACGTAGCTATAAGAATCTAGAAAAAAAAACATAGCGTTCGAAGTGTCCAAGCCAAAACAAATTTTCTAACAGTTTTATACTACAGCATGAACAATGTTCTACCAAGAATTCAGATGAACGATAAGTGTTCGACCATAAAGCATGTTGTCGACCGGTACCGCCTCGCCATTACTAACCACAGCCAGCTTCATTGGGACGCCATCACCACAGTTTATTTTAAAAGATAAAACCAATATGCCAATAAATATAAAGAAATCTGTAAATTAATTTCGTTATTCAATAAATGTATTTATGTTACTGACAAACCTCGTGATTTTTTATCATCATAGTCCTATAAGAAAATATGTATGTTTAAACCGGGTACAAAATTAGGACATTACAAGTATATATATTTTTTATTTTTTTTTCTGAACATTTTGATGATATTGTTATCGTTCGACGGGCAAATTCAAGTCTGATTTTGTAGCATTTAGCAATTGTTAACTAAGACTACAAGCTTTGATATATACAGTAATTTGTATTAATGAGTACGAATTTATATTAATCTCTTTTCTATGTGCATATATATTTTAAGAAAAAAAAAGCATTTAATTTTTTCTATTAATTGTGTCTCATACTTATACATAATGTAATCAAGAAATTGTATTATTACCTACAAAGACATTAAACATGCCTACATATTTTTACTTCTTCAAAGTTTTCGCTATCAATTTACATGTTTCCTAAAGAATTTCAATTTTAATACTAATATTCGACCCGTCGTGTTGGAATATACATTTTAGGCGTTGGTTTATTGCTTTTAACTCTATAGCATCTCCATAAATGTCATCTAAAATAAATTAGGCACCACATAGCCGGCGAGATGGCCGGCTGATATGCCACGCAGACTCATCCGATGGAAATTTAACCAGATAAAATATAAAGATGTGAGATATGTTAATTTTAATGTCTCCAATAAATAATGTTTCATAACAAATTACTAAGCCGCATCTTTTGAACGTGTTTGTATAACTTTCAACATAGAAAGCGAATAATTTTTAATGGGACTGCTTATTAAAAATATTGGCCGAATGTAAATTGTCCACTCCGAACTCCACTTTCAAACGTATACGAGGAGACAAGGGCGGGCCGAAGTCCCGTTTGCTCCTTATGTTTATTGTTATTCTAATTTTTAAGCAAGAACAAAAGGCAGATGGCTATGTCGTTGACAATGATGTATTGCGAGCTACGGCCACAGGTTAGTACAAAGGAGGGACACAAAAAACTTCGTAAGGAGCGTCGCTTTGCTAAGCCCATTACCTGCGCAGGCGCACGGGCCTTTTCAAATGTGTCACTTCGGCTTACCCTCAAAAGGGAAATGACAAGAAGTAAAGTTTTAGTTGTGACGTACCACTAATTAAAGTAGAAGAGGATTAAGTTTCTTCGAAAGTCACTGGGTACCTACCGACCCTTTACAAAATGTTCTAAGTTGATGCACTGATTTACAGTTAAATTAATCAAAACATTTAAACTTAAAGTGGATGATTTTTTTTTATACATTTACAGCATTGCAGAGTTTAAGAATATACAGAAATTAAACAGTTTTTGTTAAAAAATATTAAATACTTACAAACAATTATATAGTTGCTATATACAAACACTGATTACAAAGAATTTATCTTAATTGTGAATAGAATCGTTTACACTGTGCGAATAATTAATTAATATTACGTGTAATATGTAATGCGAAAGTTTGTTATTAGGGATGGATGTATGTTTGTTACTCTTTTACGCAAAAGCTACTGGACGGATTACGATGAAACTTTACAATAATATAGCTTATACATTAGAATAACACACACGCCATAATTTAAAGATATTATGTAAATTGGGCGAAAAAAAATTTTAAATAGCAAGTAAGTGTGATGCAGACAAGTTGCACGGGTCAGCTAGTCTATTATATGCGTGAACAGACAGAATTCAGATGTATCATACCTTCTGAATTCCATCTAATTATATACTGGTTGATTATTACGGTGATTATCCTTATTACATAATATTAATATTATTATAGATCATAACTAAATACCTATTAGACATTTTGATCATCTTCTGTCTGTTATATACGCGGTATAAACGTAAGTATAACATACTTAATACGAGTTACTAGTAATGTTTTGATATTTTCAAGATTCTCTCTTGGAACATGGTACGAACGAGAAGGAGACGTCCTGTGAAGACGACGATAGTTTGAAAATTAACTAATAATAACCGTTTACTTGCATGCAACATATTACAATATGCAATGTAAATAATTAACACAATTTTATTCTAAATCATGTGGGCTATTAAGAGGAAAAATATTGGTGATCGACGACGACTTGTGGTTTTCATTTTTACTATGCCATAGACTTAGTTTTTGTATGTTGAACTTATAAAAATGCTTACAAAGTTTATAAATATATTGTATAATTGCCAGTTAGGCAATATGACAATTCTGTTAGGTACCTATCTAATTTTAATTGGGTACTTAATTAGTGTTAGCTACCTAATAAACATGTGACTTTCTATAATCAGGTTTAAAAGATTTGGCAAATTCAATGCTTGTTATCTACTGTCATTATAATCTAGAGATAACTTCACTGCAACAATATGATAAACAAGTGAAATGATAAACCTGACATGTCACTAAACATAGTGTTATAACATTAAAACAGGACTCACCAAACAATCTCCATACTTCTGCACTGCTCAGGTAAACATTCAGATGCGCCAAGGTATAAGGCAAGAAAAGTGCAATCAAAAGCCACTTCATGTTATTAGATTTTTATGTTTCTCTAATATTGTAAAGTATCACAAACTGGTCTGCTTCATCGGTCCGTATCATTCACCACTGTAATTGTATCACATTTTCAACCACCGTCCAACAAAATCAACGATGCTGACTTCTCGCCGCTGCAAGATTACACACTCGAATAAAACGTACAAATCCATAAGAAAAACAAAAGAAACGCACCAATAAGTATTGTAAAGCACAAAAGTTTTCGATTTTATTCATGAACAAATCTAATTATTGTAGTATCTTTACGATTTCTGTTTATAAACATTGATAATGTGAACGTTAATTCACAAAAGCAAAGGACTATACCACTCCGCGTCACGGCTAACGTCAAACTAAAGTAACTGGTTGCTGAACTAGCCAATAGCAGCGCGCTCGCTCAGCGGTTGAGCCCCTATTCATTCATTTAACTCAGTTTTAGACTTGATCTCGATTGCTGGTTGGAGCGGAGTTTTCGAACGTGCCTAGTGGCGACACCTGCGTGCTTCTTGAGTTCACATTTTTTACTAAACCAACCGCTAGAGGGCGATAAACAGTATTTAATTTTGTTACAATTTACATATTTTTATTTCTAATTTTTTTATTAAATATTTATTAACAGAAAATAATAAATTATAATTATAATTTAAATAATTATAAGTGCTATTGAATCACCTGTCTATGTCTATGTTTGCTATTAAAAAACATGGCCATGTTTAAAATTATAATAATACTCGTAGATATTTTAAGTTGAAGTATATTTATACATAAGTACTCTGATACTACTTAAATCTTATTATTTTAATTGCAACCAAACGAAATTCAAACTTTTAAACCTGGCTTTGCACTTATTTGTTCAAATACCATTGTTTTATAAGACAATATAAATTGATTATATTGTAGTATCAATATTATAAATACGAAAATGTATCTGTCAAAAAGGGCTGACATACCGTCTGCCGTACCGTCTTTACTTACCTTATCACAGCTAAAGGGCTAAATCAAATTTAATTAAAGGGCTAAATTAAATTTATTTCTACTTGGAACATAATCTGAAAGAAATAGGAGAGAAAAGTTTGTGCAGAAGAAACTGCTAACAGCCAGTTCTTATAAAATTGTAAGGAAGTAAATAATTAACGTATTATTTTTTGCGTTAATTATTATTATTACTTTTTAAAATGTACATGTTTTTATTTCATGTAAATTGTACTATAAATTTTTGAATTACAATTTTTGCTAATTTATGAATACCTACTCTTTTTATTTAAAATATGCTATATATAATAATTGCTATCACGCTGACAATGTCGCTTAAAATACCTACGAAAGTTATACAATAAATTAGTGTAATATAGAGCCATTTTCATCAAAACCTGATTTGTAAAACAAGCATATCTTATTACAGACTGCCAAGAGAGCAATTCTGAGACCACCCAGAGTGGCTACCAGCTCATTGGAACTAATAAGCGTGTAAATAACCGTGATCTTACATCAAGGACTAGTCATCGTTGAGAACAACACACACGATACCACATCATTTGATGAAACGATAAAATATTTCTAAATACGAGTATCATATTTCCTACCAGTAGATATAACAATATTGTTTGCGTCAACTAAAAATTGTTTCATTTAATTATTTATTTAATAATTATAATTTAAGGTACCTAGATATACAAAAACAGCGATCTTTGCTAAAGTTTTTAAACGTTTGCATTGTTAATTTCTAAAATATGAACAATAGTAAGAGCTCTGATAGCGAAATGGCGTATTAGTATGTATGTGAATATACTAGTGCTATTATTTCTGTAATCGTCGTAGTTTACGATTACAAAGAATTTAACGCTAAATACCTAGCGTAGTTTCGAAGGTACACCGCGTGTAAATCGCTTACTACCCCACATTACTAATCCGATGACGATCATTATTATTCTGCTGCAAGTATTTTCACACAAGAAGTTCTCTTAAATATATGTAAAAAAAACACATATGGCAAGTAAGAGTCGAATGTACCTGACACAGGCAATGCTGTGCTTCTATGTCATCCTAACACTGTGTTGTTGTAATCCAATTGTTTCTTAAAGCAATAAATATTTTTTTCTTTATTCAAGACGATTTAGCTTTTAAGACCGAGGCCAATCAGTGGTAGGCTGCATTTTATTTAATAATAATAATAAAGACATTTATTCAGCATTACAGTATTCTTATTTACTATACAACATAAGTAGATACTGAATGTGAATTCCACTCAGCATTTATCTACTGTATTTCGGTCTTTCCATCTCATCTCATGCCTGCGAGCGCTATGTTTCCGTAGCACCATTTTTCGTCATTTCTGTATGCTCTAATAATTTTCCAAGAGTATAAGAGTAATCAGTATTTTTTATTCTAACAATGAATTAATGTTATTTGTAGAAGTGAAGTGCCATCTATAAGTTTAAAATAATACTACTAAAGAGGAAGGCATGCACGAAACACGTGCGATGACTACTAGATGGCGTATAGTAAAGAAATTGTAAAAAAGTGAGATATATAAAAATTTATTTCTAAATAATACGTATTAGATGTATATCCCTAATGTATTAGGGATATATATCTGAAATATTATAAATATAATTAAAAAAGTAAGTATATATTATATATGTATTGTATATAATATACTTTTTCAAAGGCGGATTTAAAAAATGCCGCCCCCTCCGGCCTACATTTTTAGAATATAGATATTAATATACATATTGTTGTTAATTATTGTGGCATTTTCAAATACTTACATTGTACACAAACAATTTACTTGTCATTTCAGTGGTTAAGCTGTCAAAGACGCGATAATGATGAGTTCTGTATTCATCTGCCAACTTCGAATTTGCCGCCCAGAGCTCCACCAGACCCGAGGCTTTTCGACCACTTACAAATTCACTTATTCAATTGGTAGATACAAATTGTGCGTGATTATTTTACGATTCGTTCAGATCTTCGTCAAATATAAATTCTCTATGTATTTTTAACTAAGGTACAGCAATTTAATGAATTTACGTACAAAGTTTTTATCTTTCGTATTGCGCGCAGTGCGAGGTAAGACAACACATAGGTACATGAGGTATGTACCATACTCATCCTGAAGACTTTCTAATGAAATCGAACCTATACCTACCTAAGTTCCTTAAATTCCTTTACATGTCTAGTTATAAAAATATTTGTGTAAAAATTAACATAAGTTTGTGTGTTTTATTTTTACATTATGTATACGTGGTATGGTAAAGTAGCTGACTGCCCACTGCTATATGTGATAACCGTCGCCTAACACATAGCTATACCACTGATATCATATTGTTATGAGACGCCCGTGACACTACACATGCGTTGCCATGCTGGAGGAATGACAAAGATGTTACTCCACATTTTGTAATTTCACTGCCATATTTCATTCTGCAATCGAAACACAACTTACAAATCAATCAGCTTGGCGGGTGAAATTGGTGAGACTGAAAACGCAAACAAGTTATTTCAAAGTAGTAGTAGTAGTACCTCCTTATATAATTTTCGATTGGTATATCATTGACTAGTTTGCCATTATTTTTTCCCTGTTATATTATATAGCTTATACCTTTAGCTACGTTAGGTGTCTCTTATTGGCACTGAAGTCGGATTGTAAGTCAAGTTTAGTTACCTCTTCTAAAAAATTTTTGAAGATCTTCAACATTCAAACATAGTCACAATAATACAAAGTCACTACGGCTCATTGATCATAAATGAAACAAATTGTTCGAAAATAGATTTTTAATACAAAATTACATAAAACTTCATTTAATAAATACGTCTCATGCTTTGGTAAAATCTTTCAATAATATATAAAAAAAAACCAAAATAATTAATGTTATATTGTAAAACAGTAAATATCTTATTTACTAACATAAAATAATATAAAACATAAACGCGGTGAAAGATGACTAATATAAATGAATTCTAAGTAGAAACGATTACGCCATACATAGAAGCATTTAAAAATAAAAAATATAGACTAAAATTATAAAAGGAAGATTACATTTCATATGGCACAGAGGAACTATCAATAGCGTGACGTTCTTATTCTTTGGGCTTCTTTTCCTTCTTGCGCGGCGGCGGGACGGGCGTGTCGGCGCTCGACGCACCCTCTTTATCTTTCTTGGCCGCTTTCTTCACAACCTTCTTTTTAGGTGCATCCGTGGATTTACTGGCCTGTGTCGGCGTCGACGGCGCCGGTGTCTCCTGCGTCGGAGTTTCCGGTTCCGTTTTCTCCGTCACCGAGGATTCAATCTGCGCGGCGGTCGTGGACTTCCCTTTGCTGGCCTTGACCCCTATCTGTGCGAGGGACACGCTGTCTACGGGTGGCGTCGGAACCTCGGGTTCTTCCACAGCGAGTCTCTCTGCTTGACCGGGCGGCGGAGGTGAAGCGGGTGTGGAGGGTTCTGGCGAGGTGACCGTGGGTGTCTGCAGCTCGCTGGCGATGATGGACTGCGCGAGCGCAGCTGCGTCCTCCAGCTCGCTGTCGGGGGTGGGGAGTGGGTCGGCGGCGGCGGGGGGACTCAGCTGCAGCTTCCCCGCTGGCTTGCGGCGCTCCTCAGCTACACAACCAATTATCTCGCCCTTATTCTCTCTTTCGTTTACACGTAGCGTTAGTATGGCAGTCACATTAGAGAGCAAGCTCGGTTAGGGCCTGGAACAAGTCGAGGGAAAACAGAGCTACATGGTTAATTCAAAAAACAATGCAAGCGGAAAGTTAGATCTCATGTCAGTTTAGTGATAGATCTGAAGCCAATGTACAATTTACATTACAAGGAGAATTATTACGTCGATATCGAATGAAATCGTTTACATGAATATATTAGATGTCGAATTGTGGTGATAATAATACCAACCCATGTGTTGCGCTTTGTGATAATGTGCAAAAAGTGTATCACGATGGAAAAGCATTGAATAATATTACTTGCAATGTGTGAGTAAAACATGTGAAGCAAATAAAAAAGAACGTTACAATTTCGTCATTTTTCCTCTGTGCGAATGTGTAACAGTCTAGGATAAGTGCATGACGCAGTTACATGCAGTCGTATTTGCCCTATCCCATTGCTTATCGTTTACGTGATAACATTTTTTAAAATTGAAGTAAGTATTATTTTAATATTAATTAAATGCACCGTAATATATAATATAAAAGACATAGTGGCGGCAACATGGCAGATACGACTACTTGATTGGGACTCACGTAGTCAGACTGGAACGGAAAATGCATTCTTTCCTTTACGTAAAACGAATCAGTCTTACAAAACGTCCTATTTACTGCATATACTTGGACTCATCACAACAATACATTCAGTATACAAACATACACAAATGGAATGAATAAAGTATGAAATTCCAGAAAAACATTAATATCATTGTATAACATTAATTAGGAAAATATGTAATTGGTATTTCTACAATAAGTGAGAATATTGAAAATTGTGTTGGGCCCGAGTAAAACTGTGTTAATTACCTGATCTATCAAAGCCGCGTCTCTTGCGCTGCCTCCTCGGTAGCTGGGTGAAATAACAACGAATTTTGAAACTTATGCTCAGTAAAATAACATAAAAACCAAAAACATCACAAAACGGCACAAAAGAAAACATGTGGTCACATCACGTTCTACGAGTAACCGTGTCAGCTTTAGGTGCATCTCGGTCTCCGTAAAACTGATGTAGCTAAACTATTAACATATATTAGTAGAAGAATAAGAGAAAACTGCAAAATAAACTCGGTGAGAACTTAAAGTGCAAAGCCGTTAACTGCTCTCTGCGCTCTCTTTCTTCTCCTTTACTTACATTTGGCAGCCGGCACTCCTGGCGCCTCATCTTTGGACGGTGTGTTTGCTAGAGGAGGACTATCGCTAGCTTTTTCTTGTGTTGTTGCTGCTACTGGCTCTGTTACCGTCGTTTCTGCTGCAACAGCTACCGCTGAAGCATCGGCTGGCGCAGCAGTTTGTGGTACCTCAGCAGTTACTTGTGTATCTAAACTTGGCGCTACTTCTGCCTCCGGTGTCGATTTTGGTGTTACTGGTGGTGTAGGGGGCACTTCTGGCTTTTCAGTCTTTTGTGATGTCTCCTCTTTTGAAGGTATGGTTTCCACTCCAACCGGAACTTCTGCAGCAGCATTTTCTCCTGTAGGCTGTGGAGAAGATTCAACTGTCGTAGGCACTGCTGCTGATTCTACTATAGGTGGTTGTACACTATCTGCAGCAGTCGGTACTATCGGAGCAGTGACAGCAGACACTGGCGCTGTTTCCTGTAGTGAAACTTCGACTGGTGCTACAGTTTCCACAGTTGCAGGTACTTCAGCCTGTGTTGGTGTAGGTAGTCCGGAGACTGCTGTAGATTCTGGGGCAGGGGCTTCAGCAGGAACTTCTGTTGGTGTGGGTGCTGCTTCCTGCAAAGGCACTGCAGGCGTCTCAGTTGGTACTGACGCAATAGATTCAACTGAAGTCGGAATATCTATTGGTGTAGTTATTTCAACTGCTACTGGAGGCTGCACGGAAGCATCTGTTGGAACTGGAGCAGATGCTTCAACCGAAACAGGAACTTCTGATGATGCGGATGTCTCTATTGTTACAGGTGTTTCTGATTGTACAGTTGCAGGTATCTCTGTACCTGTAGATGCGGATGCTTCCGTTGGTGCAGATACTGGTATTTCTGCTAATACGGCAGCTTCCGCTGGTGCTGGTGTAGTTGTGGCTGCTTCCACTGGTGTAGATGTAGGTGCTTCTGTTGTGACTGGTCCTTCTAAAGGCGCAAGCGTAGGTACTTCCGTTGGTACTGGTACAGATGCTTCAGTTGATACTGGTACGGCCGCTTCAGCTGGTGCGGATACGGCTGCGTCAGTTGGTGGTGATGCGACTGGTTCCGATAGTGTGGGTGTAGGTGTTTCTGTTGACACAGCTGCAGGTGCAGTTGCTTCTGTTGATGCAGGTGCTTCTGCTGGTGCAGGTACTTCTGCTGGTGTAGGTGTTTCTACTGGTGCAGGTGTTTCTACTGGTGCAGGTGCTTCTGTTGTTGCAGGTGCTTCTGTTGGTGCAGGTGCTTCTGTTGGTGCAGGTGCTTCTGTTGGTGCAGGTGCTTCTGTCAGTGCAGGTGCTTCTGTTGGTGCAGGTACTTCTGATGGTGCAGGTGCTTCTGTTGGTATAGGTGCTTCTGTTGGTGCAGGTGCTTCTGTTAGTGCAGGTGCTTCTGTTAGCGCAGGTGCTTCTGTTGGTGCAGGTGCTTCTGTGGGTGCAGGCGTTTCTGCTGGTGCGGGTGTTTCCGTTGCCGCAGGCGAGGATGCCTCTGTTAGAGCAGGTGCAGGTGTTTCTGTTGGTGCGGGAGCTTCTGTTGGAGCTGGTGCCTCAGTTTGCACCGGTGGCGTAGTTGCTGAAGTATCAGGTGTCACTGGTGGCACCGCATCTACTGCAGCAGGAGTTTCTGTTGGGGCTGATGTTTCAGAAATTGTTGGCGCAACAACAGGCACAATAGGCGCTTCGCCAAGTGCAGGAGCAGCATCTATTGTTACCGCTTCTTGTGCTACCTCAACAGAAACGGGCGCTGTTTCTACTTGCTCTGATGCTGGCGATGGTCCTGTTGGTAATGGTGTAGGTTGTATTGTAATTGGAGCAGTCGGCTCTTTTGGAGGAGATACTCGAGGTTGATTAAGTGTTTGTGAGATTTTAGCCCAAATATTGTCGAAAGAGTCTGCTCCCAAGTAATCTATGTTGCCCGCTTCCCAACCCTGACGACGTGAAAGCTCATCCAGAGCTTCTCGTTGGGATCCAGGTGCGCCTGAGGCTACTCGGGCCAAGTTACCAGCAACTCCACTCTGTAATGAAAATTTATAAAGTTAAAATACAATTCTGACATTAATGTAATAATTAACGATAATTTTATTTTGCCTCAACGCTTTATAAAGTAAATTCTAAAGAAAAGTGTGCACTCGAAATAAATTCTACATAGTAATAGTCAGAGGGAGGGATTCGATTATCGCTACATGTTGTTACGATGAAACTAACTCGAGGTTTTTCTTAATGAGCTCAGTGCGTTTCAATTAAAAGTAAAAACAAACAAGCCTGTCATCATTTTTCGATTTTTTTTTCGATTTTCGTTACTTATTTCCTATCAGAAAAGAGATAATCGGAAAAGTCACATATAGGTTGTGTGTAGATAAATATGAATTCACAACTATTAGTAATTTAGTAACCAGTAACCAGTTTTTAATAATTGGTAATTGTTAGACCTACAATAAGAATCACTGGTAATTTTTATATTCGTTTATCCATATTTAAAATATGAGAGTTCTTTTTATATATAATTATTTTATAGCGCTCTGCTATAATAAACGTCTACAAAGCATCTCTCGTAATTTTCATTTATTATTACTGTAATGAATAGGTAAATATAAATAATATTGATCTATATTATTATACCAGAAGTGGAAATTGTCAAGTTATTCTTGAAAAGTATTTTAAATACATGCGAATTAGAAATTAGGACATTGGCATGCAAAGCCTTTTTACAAATCAGGATATATACGGGGTAACAAACTCATAGCTCGAGCATACTTTACTAATCTACTATACTACATTAACAACTATGATGAAATTACCTGTTTTAGAAGATCATACTTTCGCTCATACTGCTTCATCGATTCAAAATTTGATGAATATTGAGCTAAATATGACATAAACTTACTTGTATTCCGCAGTCATTTTCAATACCAATTGCCTCCTCTATACACCTGTTACCGTTTAACAAAATTGGTGATCTGGACCTCGGTGAGAGCGGTGACGACGTAGGAGTCGGTGGTATTTCATGTGTACAAATTTTATGTCCACGATAATCTATAGTGGCACGATGCCTTAAATAGAACTCATCGTATGGATGTCTCGGTATTATATCATCAAAAACATCTCCATTGGTATTTGTATTTAATTGTAATGGTATATCTATGCGATTCGTTCTGTGCCATCGGTGATTTTTTTTATTATAGGTATGAATCGGAATTCGATTTTCCGAAATGCGAGCCCCTGACTCCATATCATCTTGAAATTTAATAAAATTATCAATAACAATTTTGAATTGAGTTTGACTAGAATTATTTGGCGAGTGATTATGGTGCAAGTGACTAGAATAAACCTGAGTGTGTTCAAGAGTATGATTAGATTTATCTGGTTGTGTATGACTACAATCGGGGCGATGGTGTATTTTCCCGTTTTCAAAACTATCGTGATTGTGTTCGTGGCGGCAGTGTATAGTGTAATGCTGTTGTTGGATTTGTTGCATATTAATGTACCAATACTGGACATTATTTTGATTTTGAATATCTGGTTGCTGGGATATTTCTTCGTAATATTTCATTTCATTTGACGTCGACGCATATTTTCTCATTTCATCAAGATCAATTCTTTGTAGCCCCGTATGTGCAACAGAGTCGATCATGTTGGGCAGAATATTCCCTTTATAATGTTGCCAAGGGTCATAGAATTGAGTTACGTCTATTTCTGTTGCATTGGTTTCTTCTTCTATTTGAGCTTCCGGGCGGTGCCAAGGGAATTCAGATTCTGGATCGATTTTCGGCATATAGTAGTGGCTGACATCTTGCGAGGGTAACGCTGGAGGGGCTTCATGCACCTCAACCTATCGGTTGAAGTGACAAAACAACTCAATAGCATGCAAACAAATCCTTGAACAAAGCTTCACGCACGAACAAAATACAACACAGTGCAATAAGCTTGGTCCAAGCAATATTAATAATCAGAACATATATTATTGCAACATTATAATAAACATACAAATGCTAATTAAGTTTAAAATATTATTTACTTATTTATCTGTCGTACGGCTAATGCTACTTCAGAAGCCAGGACACTACACAGAAATACTAAAAATATTGATATTGTCTTACATGTGTACCTATTGTATAAATAATATTGTAACGATCCTTCTGAGTTAAATAAAGATTATTATCATTATTTAGTACTATTTCAGTTGTATTCACTTCATCAATATTATATTAGACAGCTTAACTAATTTCACCATTTGTATGTTTATTTTAATGCCGCGGTATTCACCAAAATACCAACACCATCTATGTCATCCCACAATTATCACCACCAAACCTTGAAGTAAGCAACAAAAATCTATATATGTGTAATATTAGAAAATGTTAGTATTTTGGAGAAATATTTAAAAAATCACATAAATGCTATATATAAAAGGTGCAACAAACAGCAGGAAGTGTGTATAAAAGCTTTGATATGCAAGCATACAAGTTTAGTCACATAGGAATTGGTGCTATAAGAATTATAATTAATGTGAGAGTAAGAGCGAAAGAAAGGGCAATGTCATTAGAAATTATGAATAATAAGGGTGTATAAATATATAGAGATATAATTACGCCACCATTGGCGAAACAATGTTTGTCTTCTCACCTCTAAAACAGAGTCCTGACGTGAACGCTTGGAAAACATGTCGAGTTCAGTACAGAGAACTACACAATAGTGGGTCGATTTACTGTAGATTATTAAAGCACGCAAGCTGTGGTCTCGAATGAGTAACCACAATCAAAAGGATTCGATTCCGATGCAGTGTTACTTGATATTGTAAATGATACGCATCTCATCCTATGAATACCTGTTTGTTCTGATCTTAGATGCTATGCTAATCGTTGTTAATCTAAAATATACATAGTACCTACTATTCATATCATGACACTTTTTAGTGAATAAAACAGTAAATATTATATATACATACCTATAATTTAAATTGAAAAAAAACGCGATGTAAGTGCAAATTATTGTTAAGATATCTATAATTTGGGATTCTCCAAATTTAATTTTTATTCTCCAAATGTAACTACATATGTAATTATTGTGTATTACAATTACATGCCTTATTATTTGATTTATAAGAAAGGATATTCCTAAAATATTTTTAAATGTAACAAAATGTGCTATATAGAACTCACCATGGCAACATCGAGTTGAGTGTGTACTTGGCTGACGAATATATCCCACCATAGTTGAAGGAACTCCCGCAGGTACTCCGGACCCTCGGCTGATCGAGTTTCGAAATTGAATTGCTGTAGCCAAGGTTTGGCTGCGCCGATGAAGTGGATAATTTTGAGATTCTGCCCATAGCTATAAGAAACATTAAAACAATACATAGTCGCTATCGCATCGCTAATTATGATCTAACACAGTAATAAAAAAAATGTCATAACTTTGGATTACTAGGCATTGATCATAGATAAGATTATATAGATAGATATCTGCACCCGATAACCGATACAGGGCATTAGGGGCTCAAGTACATTTCAGTTAAGACACGAGTGTCGTGGTTACGGTGGCGTTCGATTGGCGCATTACTTGCTAGCCTCATCATCTCTGTAAATCCGTCAATCAAACAGCGTTGTCGGCACGGGCCGTCAGGATTTATCAAAATAATGTGAGCACAGGATAAGTATAGGGCACCATACAACTTACTTACAAGACACGCATTAATTAAAAAAGCTAAATAGGTATTTTAGAACTCGACCCTCTGTAAGCATAATAAATAGATAAGATATGTTTTGTTAACTACATACTTGTTTGATTGATGTTTTAGAAGAGATATATATGGTTATGTGTGATATACATATAATATCATCATCATCATCGTCATCAGATCAAAAGTGTATTAAGATAAAGAAAGAAAGAACAACAACTGCAATGACTTCTTCTCAACTAGGAAACATGTAATGCGTTAAAAATCCCACTATGTCCATCTTTGGATCTCAGATCATCATATACTTATAGATTATGCCTGCTAATTTGGTTTACAACAATAAATAATATCCAGCGAAAAAGGCGATACAATGCTGCATTTATCACAACTTCAAAAGTTGTCAATGCCTCTGGCTACTTGTATTTGGGGAATAATTCTGAAGGTACATTATTTATTATAAATTACCACAATAGTTAATGTGTATGTATATTAAACATATTTTTATAAGAAACTTATTATATTCGATTATAGTCAAACCAGTAAGCGGCATCAATAGGCCTATATTACTAATTTAGTTTACATTATATTATAAACAATAATAAACAGGTGCCTACACATTACACTTTTTGTGTAAACACGACGCCACATAAACCATTGAACTTGTTGTTATGGTTTGATAACGTAATGCGTTCATTACATATTATCTAATCTTTACTAAATGTGTCTCTGATATACGCGATTTTTACAGAGAACGTAAATTGTTAAAATAAATAAGATGCAATAATAATAACGGACTGAAATGTAATACGTAGTTCTATGAATACGAATTCATATATATTTTTTTAATTTACTGTAACAACTTGACGGCGTCGGTGGTCTAGCGGTATAGTAAACCGCTTTCCTCCGATGGTCGCGGGTTCGATTCCTCGCACGGTACAAACATTTGTATTCATGAGTATGACCATTTATATCGGTCTCGGCGTTTTCTATGTATGTATTATAAAAAACAATTATCTAAATAAGTGGTCTAGTGCCCATAATACAAGGTCTGCTTACCGTGGGACTGAAAGGCGCTGTGTTATTATTGTTATGAACTATAACATTAAGAAGTTTTTGTCGCCATTATGTAATAAAATGATTCCATTTTATCGCCAATATGTAATTGGCGACAAAATAACACCTAATTCAATACTAGATATTTATTTATACAAATCTTTACATCCTGCGAGGAATCGAACCCGCGACCATTAGAATAAACTAAATCGAGAACGTAAAATTAAATACTCACTGTTTGAGAGCAGGCAGATATGAATAGAAGGCGGCAGACGTGACATTGTACAGGAAAGGCAGATGTCTGTTGATGTCTCCACGCGCCCAGTCAGAGAAGAATGAATTCAGAAGCCCTTGGTCACCACCTGAATTTACAAATTTTACACATTGGTTTATAATAATTATACGTATATATATAACATCGGACACCTGGATAGTCAAACGCATTAATAATAGCGATCGCCCTGTGGTCAAATTCGACCAAAATTAATTTAACATTCAGCAAGACTATGAACAAATAATAGTAGTGACAGACAATGTTAATCCATTCTCAATTTGACCACAGACTTTAACAATAAACAAAAGAGTATATATGTATATGTGTGTGTGACAAATACACAGTGTGTAACATAAGGAATGAGAACGCAACTGTTGCAAAGCAATATCTGTCGCAATTGAAAGAAACAAAATACGTAAATCTATGGGGCCGAAGTTTAGCAGGGCAAACTTCGAAAAGGATACATTTGTCAAATATTGTTCTAACAGTGTGTTCCTCTAAATCAGTGATTCCCAAAGTGGTCTATATCGACACCCAGGCGTCTATGACAAACTGCAAGTGTTCTACGACAGTGGATATCATGTTGTTTTTACTTCCTGTTTTTAACACTAAACTTTGCTACAGTTAGAAATTGACAAAAAATCAATACTAGGTAAAAATGGGGGGTCTACCCAAAACCGAAAAATATGGCAAGGGGTCTATGACACAAAAAAGTTTGGGAACCTCTGCTCTAGACCGAATATTCCTGCTTAGTGGCAAAAAAAAAGCTGTGGTACAATACATGCGTAAACTGTCTCTACATAGAACTTGCCACCAACGCTATTAAATATAAATTAATAGTGCATTATATGATATGTATATGCCTTGCGATATGAAAATTTCTAATGAGCTCAATCTGAATCAACAGTCCATTACATCCTTGATAAATGTGATATATCCTATGTATAAGTGATGATTCTTTGGTGTAAGGCGACACATTTTACATATGTGTTGTGTTGCTCACAATCTAAATATGTATGTAGGTGACTCAGTGGTCCGCACTCGTCATTAGGGTTGTGTATTTCCAACAGTAAATTGTTCAAAATAATAATCTCACCATCAAAGCTGCCACGTTCCTGCGCGAACTTGATGAGCTTTTCGAAAGTCTCTGCCGAGGGTTTGTATACGAACACTCCAGAGTTGAAGCAGTCAGGCCAGCCGACGTCGGGCGCTGCAGACAACTCCTCTCGCTCGAATAACTCGTCGCAGTTTTGAACTACCTGCATCATAGATATTGATCTAAATTAGTGATGAAAAACAACGACAGAAAATTACTTTAAACTAAAGGTGCAAAGTTGTCTTTATGTAGAGAGTATCTATTAGCTGATTAGTGTTACGTACAGTTATTATTTCGTGTGATATTATAACACAATTTACAGGATTTAGTCAACAAGTATTTGGTCACTCTAATATTAAATTGTCATAGCAATGTGTAAATAACAAAAATATAACAGAGTAGATAATGAAGATGATTTTGTTTTCAAACTATTCTAATGCTGTTGGAAGTAGCTGGCCTTTACAGCTTCAGCGAAAGAAAATGGGGAGAGTACAGAAGGCATTCCAAACCTACGGAAGGACTTATGGAGCTACTGAAGACCAACTCCTGTCTGACGGATACGAGGTCGCTAGGAAATCACACTTCAACCCAGGCCATCGTGTTTTCAATCCCCATTTGGATGATACAGAGGATCGATCGGAGTATTTTGGTATAACCACGAAAGGGAGCTCATTCTAAGTTAATAAGTCTAATTCATAAGTTATTATGTAATAGTCTTCATTATAAACATGATTTCGTGTATACCGTACATTGAGCCCGTGACGCTCGTCTGTGGCGTTCGAAAGAATACTACAATATGAAAGTAGATTTTGGAGCAGTTCCAAAATAGTTGGGAAGAAATATTTAGGCCACGGTTATGTCTCATCATCTCGGGTTACTGCGCTAACGTCCACATCCGGTAACATTGACTTTCTTATCGCGTAAACAATTAGCGACCGATATATCTTTACGACTTTCACGAAATTCTTCATTGAAAATTGAGTATGTTTCAGCACATATTGGCTAGGCATGTTGGAATGTGAGAATAAGATTTTTTTTCGTTTATATGCTTGTTATGTTGTGTACCGGCATCATTTGTGGTTTCTGTTGTACTCTGGTTTCGCTCTTCAGTGAGTTCGTTTACAACAAATAGTAAAATTGTTTCTTAAGTTCAAGTTAAGTAATAAAAAATATTTAATGGAAAAATGTCCATAACACTTTCGCCCTATAAAAAATTTGCCTAATAGTAGCATAAGCTGGTGGGATGCACTATTTTTTTATAGTTTACAGTGATTGGAGTGAGCTCCATGAAGTCAACTGGCTTATTATGTAGAAAGGGATTACCGTATGAAGTGACTTTATAATTATAAGTGTATCAATTTTATAATAAAGAAACAGTTTGTTATTTGTTATGCTGGGTACTCATCTTTTATATTATGGCCCTTAATAAATTGTGAAATTAATGGGAGTGCGACTCAAAACAAAGTTAAAGTCACAATGCGATATCGAAATTAGATTAAAAGCAAATTATCAAAATTATTTTATACATATAATAAAATTTAAATAATTCTTCAAAACGTAATCTAGATCTAATTTTGATTACTATAATATTATAAGATCATGGAAGTCGATAATTTTATTATGTTTTCTTACTCATTCGTTAATATAATACTATTATGATTAATATTCTAAATTAAATTTAATGTTATAATTAGACTGAAGACTTCATTTTCTCTGTCAACATGTCTGGCTTCTGTCTTGTTATAATGATGTAGCACATAAACAATGTAAAATTAACTTCATGTTCGTTTTATTATTATAAATAGTACATATGTAATAGATAAAAATGAAAATACTCTCAATTGCAATGCCAAACTAAACAGTAGTATGTATGGGTTGCTTTCGAGCCAAGAATTTAAATTTCATTACGCATAACACAAAGGGCGAGAGAAAACATTTTTTTTATTATAAAAACAGACACACCGATAAAATCACTTCATTATTTCTGAAATATTTACTAACAGAATCTTAGGTGGCATATAAATATCACAAGACAGAAATTATTTAGTTGTACGTATCTACTACTTTGTAGCACAAAGAGACAAACCCATTGGCTTTATGTAATGACATGATCGAGTGTTAAGTAATAAAACTTATGAATAGATAGGTACAAATACATCTGTCAATATTAAATTATTAAATATGTGTACTATTAACCAACTTAATATGACCAAAAATGAATTTTCTTCTTCAAGATCTGTACATTCGTATTATATTCTTATAACATTGCTATCATTGTTTTTAGCTGCTATCGTACAAAGTTATGGTCATATGATAAATGTTAATCAACGTACAGTGTATATAATCATAATTTATGATAACTCACAATTTATTGAGACAATCCCCGTCCGTGATTTAAATAGAACAAATGACATAATATTATTAGGTACAATGAACTTCAATATAACTTTGTATTATACCTATAATTTACTTGTTTGTTTTTTTATTCCAATACAGTATATATGTTTATTGTTATTGTTACATACAATAAACATATATACTGTTAACCATTTCTTATCTAATAATTGTTAACCCGAAAATAACTAGAATAGAATGGCTGTTCCGTAATTGCCTCGCGAAATTAATGTCGAATATGTTTTATTCCAAAAGTCTACGAAATAAATTAGGAGGAGGGACGAGACCATTACTATATAATAATATTTTTTTATAGATAAATACTGACTACCCATTCATACAGTAGTGTCTGACATCTGTCTACTCGTGTGATATGATATGACCTATACTCACTAGATAGTATCGATATTTATGACATTAAAGTTAAAATAATTCTGTGTAATATTCAATTTTTTACTGTACATCCTGAACAAACAATTGAATATGAACTTTATCCTAATCCTAATAATAAAAATATAACAGTAATATAGCTTATGCATCAGAATAACACATAGCCTATATTTTATACTGAAATATAACGCGAATGAAACCACGGACACAGCTAGTCATTTATAAATACGTATAAGTTGCATTGTGCTTCATCTGCTTACCAGAGCATCAGCATCGAGGAACACGCATTTCTCATACTGTGTAAGGCCCCAGCAGTGAATTTTTGTGAATGTAATGCCAAGTTCTGGACGCTGCAACAATGCTAGGTGAGCAGCGTCGCCGGAATCTAAGACATCAACTATTACTACTTCAGCAAATACTGCGCGAAGGCGTTCCCTGTGAATAGAAATAAAAAAATAATAGATTATATATACCTCGGTGGTCTAGCAGTTTACCACACCGCTTTACTTCCGATAGTAGTGGGTTCGATTCCTCGCAAAGTACAAACATTTGTATTCATGAATGATTGATTGTATCGGTGTGGGCATTTTCTTTGTATATCTATTATATATGTAGTAACAAAAAACATCAAAATATTTATAGACTACTGTAGACCATATACTGTACCCATAACAGAAGCTCTTTTTAACTTGGGGCTAGATGGTGTTGTGTGAATTGTCCAGAGGTCCAAAAATATTAGCTATTTGCATGTGCATTTGTGTGTTTCTCTACATAAATTGTAAATGTACGAAAGTTTATACGGACAAAGCATTTCCTTCATGGGCGTAATTTTCGTAAAAAGTTTAGCAAAGTTTTTGTTTCGCGTATAGAGATAGTAGGGGGTGTGAACGGAGATTTGAAATCTGATGACGTGTATCAGTACTGAGCATTACGTATGTGCTTATGTAATGTCCATAACATGAAATATTTAACAACCTAAATTGATAAGAATAAGGATATGATTAATCATTGTAATTGGCGGTATAAACTTGATAAGCATCTGTTACCTGTCGTATGACATTCATAAAATATTATTTAATCAATAAATATATTGAATATTAATACTTTCTTTTAAAATAATTTTGGCAATTCCATGGGTATCTAAAGCCTAACTAGAGCAATATAAAATCAAGAAAAAATGCTATTATTGTAGTAGATGATTGCTACAGTAAATTAAAAGTGTAGTGTAGACACAATGTTTGACAAATTTTGGAAAAATCTTGTCTACAATTCTAGTCTAAGAATCTAGGTTACACCGCCAGATGTTTTGTTGGTGCTATTAATAGTGCCTGTAAATGTGTTGCATAATAATGTATATTCTCAAAAGAACTATTCCCTGAGAAAAGTTACTAATTACCTACGTCCTTTACTTAATGTTCTTTTCATGTAACGAGATTGGCAAACAAGCTGGTAGTCTACCAAAGAACATCATATCATCATGTGACATTCGTGCGACCCCTCATACGGTGCCTACGCCACTAGAATATCTCACTCAGCATCAGAAACACAGTTAACAAACCTGTTTGGCAGCTGAAATGGGTGTTACAGAGGTAACTAGACGATTTTATATAAGTCTACCTTTGGTATAAATATACAATAGACATAATTAAAAATATATATAAACCAGGTCTTTGACGACTTTGATGAACTAGCAGTTTACCATGCCGCTTTACTTCTGATGATCGTGGGTACATACATAAAATATATGGCATACAAAATTTCAAGTGAAGAAAAAGTATTTGTATATGTCTTGGTGTTTTCTTTGTATATTATGTATGTTTTTACAAAAAATATCTAATTTATTTATAACAGTTATCTAGTACCCATAACACAAGTTCTGCTTACCTTGGGACTAGGTGACTTTGTGTGAATTCTCCAGAAATATTAATATAGTAATATAAATCAGGATATTACCTCATTGGTTCGGTGACGGAAGGTGTGATGAGTACCACACTAGGGTACACGGATGCTGCGCGGCGCAACGAATGCGCCAGCACCAAGGCACCCAGACCATATGAATCGTTTGTAGCTAGCGTTACCCATGCTCGATCTGTAGAAACAATACATTTTCCTAAATACAATTTTCTATCAAAACAATTTTATGAAAAAGTTAAATAAACAGGTGATTACAAAATGATTAGGACAATAAAATATATATTTAAATGTATTTCCTAACGAAGAAATCTCTATATATACAAATACATTAAAATTGCCCTAAAACAGATCTATAGATTAAAACATTAGCCATTCTGAAACAATTATGTAAAAAGAGTCTGGTAAAAAACTATTTTATACCAGTGACAAAAAGTAAAAAAAAATCTTATAAAGTATTAACAGCACTGACTTTCAACATCAGTGCTGTTTTTACATTACCAATTTATAAGATAATGAACATTGACCAATGTTATAAAAGCTCTTTTTGTTTTTAACTAATGATTCTAGTTTAGATACGATACTTCTAATTCCAGTGATGGATACTTGTGAGGAAATTTCCGCAAAAGTCTTGTATCAAGACTGGATAATGAATAATTTAATTTCTAAACCTGGATCTTTAGTTAGGTATTGTAAAGGCCAATCAAAATATAAAGACCGCATTGCAGCTACATTTGGGGTGTTCGTGTTGGGTACTGCCCATTAAACTCTCTATAACAATCGTAGTAAAGTATTTAGGTCGAAATGAAATGTTGATAAATCGTTCAATTAATAGAGGCACAAAACAAGAAATAAAGAAAAACATTAAGTTTATAATTAGCTATTTACAAATGTTTGTTGGGCTTAACTCTCTGCTCACATATGTAGGTTGGTGTTATCCTCTAAGTCCTTTCTGAAATGACACCTATAAAAATTTGACTGTTTTAAGTCCAAACTTAAAAATATTACGTATGTACCCATCTTACTATTAGTCAGGACATGTTTTACGTGTACAGTTTGTAATGCGATCCAAAATGTTAAACGCCTACTTCATATACTTTATTTAAAAAAGTGTGAATTCCAGTTTCCACCCTCGCCTATGAGGCGACGTGGTGACGAAGATACGACATAATGACTTTGTTCCTTAAAAATAGACTACATATTTTAGTATGTGGCATATTTTTAGTATGTCGTGTTAAATATGACTACATTAAAAAGTTTTTACATGGGCATAAGTGGCAAATACGTTGGGATTGAGGTAGTATACGTAGGTACGTGCTATGGCTAATTTTCTGCAAAACATTGCATCTGGTGATAAGAGCTTCGAAGTTCGCTGGAATGCCTCTAGTGTCCATGAGCCATCTAGATGGATTGGCATATCAATGTTATACGTAAATCTCTGCAATGTTTTCGGTGATTCAGCAACATCATTCTCTAAACTTAGCTGTATTAGTCTATTGCTATTATTAAACAATGAACGAACTGTATTTTTGAAAGTTGTTTGACATAATGCCGACCACATTACTACCTTAGCGATCACCATTGCGGAAATTGTCCCTACATCTTAAAATCTAAAACCAAGGTTCTATTCAATTCCTTTACCGCGAATTAGATTTTGTTCTATGTTGTCGGCATCGGCAGTTTAATTTGTTAGATTCGATGTTGTTTGAGAAGTCAGATATGGCAGGTAATTTACAGGCTAATGAGGCATGACGCCTTTATCGTCAGGAATGGCAACGCATTAGAAGTAACACGGCTGCCATGATGATATTAGGACCATGGTACGCAGCTGCAAACATGAACAGCACCAAAACTAAATAAACAAGAACAGCACCAATTATTGTAAAAAAATGATCAAATATTGACATTTTGGAGTCCAGCTCATTACGTACACTTAATTAAGATGGCACATTAATATTACGCAGAGAGTGTAAATTTTGTGAGTTTGTGTGTAATATCCTGAAATTCTGTAATATTTGAAAAGTTCTTTCACAATAAAACAAATAATGTAGACGAATACAAGTCATATATTCAGTCAGGGTGAAGTTAAGATGGCCCTGCTAGTTTAAAATATTTACAAACAAAAATATACGTCTACGGTGACGACATAAATTTATTGGACGCAAATCTATCTCTAATTTATAATGTGCGATTTTAATCGCACTTCTACCACCAGCTTTGGGTGCCAACAACGTAAAATCTAAAATAACTGGAAATGCGAAGGATTACGCAAATCTGTATTTAGTTCGTTCTCAACGTACATAAATGATTCGTCGCAAAAAAGTATAGTGCGCAGTAGCATCTTCCTGTATGACGTTGCAAACATACTCATACGTAGGATGCTCGACAGTTATTGGCACGTGGGATAAAGTTGGCGCCTGCCCCTACACTATTTACTTTTGTTGTCAATATCGACATATGTACTTGTCCAAATTAATTAACAGTTATTAAGCAGTATTTACACCTCGTATGACATTGTTCTTTATAATGTTTTGAATCGAACTATTAGATGAATTGTTTTATACTAACAAATACCCACTACTACCGCAGTTTAAAAGTATATCTATATATATGGCAGGAATTACGTTAACGCATCAAAAACAAAATGCTCAGACACGTTCAAGGATTAGAGTAGACTATGAATCGCTGCATTCTGATCTTCATTTGATAAATTGGCATTCTTTGATGAACACAAATGATATTGAGAAGGCAGTATCTCTCTTCTCCTCCACAGTCGTGGATGCTTTATCGAGGCACTCTAAGATTGTGAAAGTTAGTCGCTCCAAATTTAATATCGAACCTTGGATGACTCCTGGACTTATGAGGTGTTCTAAACATCGTGATAAGTTACACAGCAATTTGCGTAAAGATCCCAACAATAGCGTAAAAAAACTAATTTATTCACGGTACAGAAATTTTTATATTAACTTACTAAGGAAACTTAAAGCTGATTATTATAACAAGTTGATAAGCCAAAATAAGGATGCTCCAAAAAAACTATGGAATACTATTAGGCACATTACTCATAACACTGCAACTGTCTCGTTACCCGAAGAGCTAATTAGGACTAGAAACAATATTAAAGAGTCTCTCAATTATTGTAACACCTGCCTCTCTTCCACAGGTAGTAACCTCGCAAATAAAATTTTGACTAGATTAAATGAAACACAGGACTCAATCGCCAGTAAAGTACACTACACTAATTCACCTAAAAACTCTTTTTTTATGGAACCTACCGATTCTCATGAAGTGCTGTGTTTAATAAAATCTCTTAAATCAGGAAACACCTCTGGTTTTGATGGTCTGAATAATAGTATTTTGAAGAATATTGGACATCTTATAGCTGAACCGTTAGCCTCAATATTTAATCTGAGTATATCGTCAGGGACTTTCCCGCAGGTCTGGAAAACGGCTGTGGTGATTCCCATATATAAAGCAGGTAGCAAAGACGACCCGACTAACTACCGTCCAATATCACTTTTGCCAGCTTTTTCGAAACTTTTAGAACGCATCATCTATAAGCGGCTAGTTAAATTCCTCAATCAAAACAGCCTTCTAAATGACAAACAGTTTGGATTTCGTCAGGGAAAGTCCACTGAAGATGCTGTAATCATTCTAATGGATGCTGTTGTTGATCACCTCGATGAGGGTAGGTGTTGCATAGGTGTTTTTCTGGACCTTGCTAAGGCATTTGACACTGTTTCTACACCTATACTCCTCAAAAAGCTGGAGTGTGTTGGAATACGTGGCTTGCCACTAAACTGGTTTGAGAGTTATTTGTCGCATAGAAATCAATGTATCAAGATTGGTGATCATATAAGTGATCCTATACATGTATCTTTTGGGGTTCCCCAAGGGAGCATTCTGGGTCCAATCTTATTTACTATATATATTAATGATCTTCTAAATCTCCCGCTCCAAAGCTGTAACGCAATCTGTTACGCAGATGATACTGCTCTCATATTCCATGGCCCAACTTGGCAGGAAACGCAGTACATGGCTGAATGTGGTCTTCGACAAGTGTCTGAGTGGCTGGACTATAATCTCCTAACATTAAACGCGTCTAAGACCCAGTATTTGTGTTTCCATAAAACAGCTGTATCTCGCCCACCTTCAAGTAAGTTCAATATTAAAATACACAAAAACTGTCTATCGCCTAATGGTACATCCAACGCTTACTGTAATTGTGACATTATCAACAGGGTGGTCTCGCTGAGGTATCTTGGAATTGAACTGGAAGAAAATTTAAATTTCAAGAAACATATATCAATTACCGCAAAAAGAGTTAGAAAATTAATGTACACAATGAAATTATTGAGAGTCATTTCAGACAACACTACTCTGAAATTGGTATACTTAGCGTTATGTCAGTCTTTAATAAATTATTGTCTACTAGCCTGGGGAGGTATTACGAAGTCCAATTTAATTCCCTTAGAAAGAGCTCAACGAGCTGTTCTGAAGGTTTCTCTAAAAAAACCGCGACTATTCGACACGATGCAATTGTATAAAGAGGCTGAGGTCCTGAGCGTGCGCAAATTGTTTGTAATGCGAGTTACTGTATACATGCACAAATATGTGAAGAGTCTACCAACATACAAAGATATATTAAAGAAGAGAATCTATAAAGCTCCTGTGTCTAAGGCTAAAACATCATTTGCTCAACGTCACAAAAAAATTCTCTTTCCACACATATACAATCAAATTTGCAAACTAATTGATATAAAACACTCTCAATTATCAGGTTTAAAAACACTCCTCAACAGTATACTGATGTCCTGGACATATGAGGACACTGAGAAAATACTAAAACCCGTAATATAAATTTAGAGAATTCTGAAATATTCTAATGATTCTATATGAATTTACAACACTTCCAAATAACATTCTTACTCACTCAAACACACACACACACACACACTCACACGTACACACATACACACACACACTCGCCGACTAACAAATACATATCTGTAATTTTTATTATTGTATTCTTTGTTTATTTTATTTTATTTTTTGTCATATATTACTAGTATTAATATTATATAAACACTAAATTTTTATATGCACTCTGATCGCCGTACCTATGTAACGTTAACTGTCAAACCTGCTTTGATTTCCACGATACAGGCATTGCCTAGTGTGGGGTCATAGTTACAATGTTATTTAAGTTATATTTTATGAAATAAATGTAAATGTAAATATCAAGTAGGCGAAGTATGCCAGTTTTTTTATATACTCGTAAATTTTTACAAACAGACATTTTCGCATTTATAATATTATTATAAGTAGTATGGATTAATTATGTCAGTACGTAATAAGCTAAATAAAACAGGTTATAAACAGAGATGTATTAGGATGATTTAATGCATTTCCAATATTAGCTCGATTACAAAAATATGTGTATATATATGTAAATAAAATTGGAGTGTCTGTATGTAATATTGAAATAACCGTTTTTAACTACATGCATATGAATATAAATACGGTGCATACACCAAAATAACATTTTTTACAATTATTGTCTGCCTGTCTGTTTGTTCCGGCTAATCTCTGAAATGGCTGGACCGATTTCGACGGAACTTTTTTTGGAAGGTAGCTGATGTAATAAGGAGTAATTTAGGCTACCTTTATTTTAGAATAACATATTTTATTTTAGAAAAATAAATCGCGTGAAACTGTTGTGAATATTCTATGATGGGCTTTTGGATGGATTCTTCACTACTAGTCTCCCTTTATACTATAATACTCATCATTCTTTTATCAGCCACAAAAATGCTACCCCTAGAAGCCATTCCGTTATTATTTGTAAATATATGGCTGTTTAATATTTTTTGCGGTAAAAAATGATTTGATTGAAATTTTACTGAGAGATTTATCGACATAGGACAATGAAATATAATACAGAATTGTTTGTTTCTTATTTGTTTTTTTTCATAAAAAATATATACATACTTAAAGTATGTGAGAGTCATGACATATATTTATCAACGCGAATAACTCCCGGTACGCGTGGGCCATCACATAGACCGCCATGTAATAGACAAGTGCCGCACGTTCTGTTCCGAAATAGCGCGACACAAATAAAATTGAAAATAAAATCCACTGGACGGATAGCGCCAGATATTCGGAACCAACCATCGCCAACGCATGTATACTCCACAATTAAATTGATAAATCGGTCTATCAACACCAGTCAACGCAGACGTTGATCACGAGACTATAAATGAGATCCGCTACGAGCAATCTGCGTTTCTATTGTAATATCATAATAAAAGCTCTTAACAATAATAATTCAATAATCATAATGTTTGTCACCTAACTACACCGAAACGTCTACATTGATTTGGATGAAATTTTGTATGTATATTTCAATGAGTTTCTGCATCGTTTGACAACACAATTAACGCCATTCACGCGGAATCAAAGTCTGATGGTTTGCTGAATTTAAATTGCTATTCGGGACCGGACGAAGTCTGATGGTTCCGTTACTAGAATATATTATTTTATACCTACAGTTTAAAACTTCAACTTCAATTACTATTTTTAAAGATACTATTATGCACTATAAATACTTATAGAATTGCATCTTGATTAAATTTCTGACAATCTCGCATACTACTCTTTTAAACTTATATCATACAAGAGTTCTCCGTCCACTCGATCAAGCATTCCTTCGTATGCATAGATATTTTATTTTTATCGCTACAATGTATTGCAATCAAGCATATCAATCACATGTACTATAATGTTTAAGAATTGATAGGATGTAATGTCATTTGTGTGTCTTGGCAGTTGCTGTAGGATTATGTAGCGGACTGCACATAAACAACTCACTGATCGTTTTCTAGCCTACTCTCAAAACAAACAAATGCCCATCAATAACCATTTAGATAAATATTAACTGTTCAGCCTCATAGTAATTTGTATTATTTTGGCTCAGCAATGGTCATCAAGATTCGAGGTCACACGCAATTTTAAGACAGGAACGTGTGTCTGAAATTTGTTTCATCTATATGTCTGTACATCAATATTTTTGACCGACAAATTCAAGGTTCCAGCGTCATAAATCATGATATTATTTTTAATATAGGTCATAAAATGAGAAATAAACCACCGATATGTTATTAAATTTAGTTTAAATATTTTATAATTTAAACCGCGTCCTGTTGCTAAATGTAGATACGTAACTAAATGGTAATTTAAAGCATCTCGACTTCGACGTATCGCAAATGGCCACTGCCAAAAGGTACCACAATAAGGCACTTGAGAATTGAGATGCAGGATCAGACGGAGCTCGTCGGGAGCAATGTCCCTGTAGTTTCTATTTAGGTGCGGCCGGTCCGGCGGGATGGAACAACGCGGGCAGTCAACCGTTTAACGGAATAAAATAATGCAATAACAACGTGCAAAACTAAAACTAAGAAATTTGTCAAAGGATATTTTCAAAATCTGTTAAAGTGAAAACTTAACGTTAACAGATTTTGTAACTTTACTTAACTTTACATGAGAATACTTTTTTCCTAAGCAATGTTTGCACATTTTTGTATTTTATGATACTCGTAATCTTCACTACAGATTTTGGTATACCCTCAATTAGTTTCTTATATGAAAATAGCAGTAAATCTTTAGTTTTAAAAGCGAAAAGTGTAAAAATATACTAGTACACAATGTGAGCTAGAGAAAGCAGGACTAGTTTGCAATTTGCTAGATAACTAGGTTATGAGCTATAGTCTCGTAGAAAACATTAAATGCATGATTCGTTAGAAGTCAATCTTTAAGTTAATCACAATTTCTTTTACGTGCTATAATATCAAAACGTCAGAGTCGAAAAATAGATGAGATATTTCTGTATTTCATTCATGTGCTATATTATATCTATCTAACGCTACTTCAGATTTTGTATTAACTAATGCCTACCACAGTAACAGAGTACCACAGATTTTCTCTTGCTTCATTTTCTTTTATAAAGTCTAGATGCTGGGTTCAGAATGTATCAACATCATATCATATTATACATCTGTTTTGACCTGACCTCTGTCTGACATTCTTTCCATATGCCCGAATCATTTCAGCCTCGACGAATTCTTCATGAATGCATAATCAATTATTCTCGAAAAAAAAGGATCTCTCTTCTACTTATAAATTGCTTATGAATATCAAATAAAACACCACAGAACGCAATAAACATGTATAGTATGTATGATTTCAACTACACATACATATATAAAAAAACTATGGCAAATGCGAAAGTAACCAGAAAGTGTCTTATTCTCTGCTTACAGACATCCTATGCGATAACATCAAACATTTCATGCAAGGAACGTATTGTAAATATTATGCAAGTATGCTATTAGTGATATACTATTTAATGTATCTTTTGCCTCTTGTTCATAAGACAATAATATGGATATATCGATAGGATAGTCACTGTAGGCGCCAGTTAAGCCGCAATCAGGTCGGATGGACATTTGTGGCTAGTATTGGATATCGGATATCGAACCGCAAACAAGAACGTAATGTTACAATTGATATCTTAAATAACAATTAACTCTGTTACCAATTGCTATATTCTGGAATACGTAAGACGAAACCTTATTAAAACGAACACTTTATGGTTTTTGAGAAAGGACAAAAGATAGTTACGACTTACAGATCAACTGAATAATGATTGTAGATGTACCTTATCGATTTTTACAATAGATCATCGATAATTCCATACAATATGCAAATACGATAAGTACAAACAGTGCAATCATTATTTTCTTAAAGTACAGAAATTTGTGAGCTACGATGACGTAGATATTATTTGTAATGTCAACAACGATAATCGGACACAGGCTGGACCGAAATAAAATTCAAGGTTGTCCTCTTCATAAACAGTGGTAAGTAATATTAAGATTCGATTGATCGTAATTGGTGCATTCTGATATTCATTAGAGGATGTGTACCGTGGTAAACACATAGGTATTTTAGTTAATACTAGGTATAGATCTCGGTATGAACCTAGATGGTCAGGCTAGAAAATCGGTGAGGGTTTCAGATGTACTCTTACCTTACTTGTACGCACTGCGTAGCATGTCTACATTCTTAGAACATGGTAAAAATTTGCTACGCATTATAAGATGAACGGGTTAAAAAATTTTATTTCGTCTATTTCGTTTTAGTACTAATATTCGTATACAATCGGTGAACCCACAAACGATAATGTTATAATGTAAAATATTTTTTTTCGACTGTAGGAAACTTTTTTAGTGAAATGCCTACTTGGTATACCAGCAATAATTACAGACATGTAATAAAAAAGGTATAAAAAAAGTTTACCGTATTTATAAGAAAATAATAACGGCGCATAAACATACTGTTCCCTAAATTTAATTAATTACTCAATATTTTTATAACTTTTTTTTAACTTTTCATGATGTCTTTTATGTACCTACCGATATTTTATAATTTAATAATGTCAGTTGAAAAATAATTACAAAGTTCTGAACTATAGAAAACTAATCGTATTTTTTAACTACCCTAGAATGTTCTTATAAATTAATATTTACCCCTATTATTTATTTCAATTTACTTCATATATTTCTGAAATGTAATTAATTAAAAATGTATTTAATAAAATATAAGATAAATAAATATTACGAATAAAATACTTTTGCACAAGTGAGTGGACACTTACTTGACATTTTGAAGACGGGTGTAGTCTCGTGCGTGACAGTTCCAGTCACCTCTGGTATCACGAACTACACACGCTCTTCGCGCAGCACTAACAAATGCACGCGCAGTGCGCGACCAATAGCTGATCCCCCTTACCGCGCCACCGGCGCCACTGACGCACACTAGCATGTAACACTAATATAATGATAACGTTACTAAACACACGCAAAGGTAAACTACGCATGCGTGTGTAGAATAATTATATATTTACTCTAACATAAATTACTATTATAGAAATAAATATATCATTTTATCGTACTGCAATTATTACGTTATCTAATGTACTCCATTGATAACATTGGAAATAAATAAATATGTCCAAACATAATTTTTAACGCTAGCAATCATGTTTATGTTTACTGGCAACTTTTTCACAACAGCTGTTCGTAGCGATCAATAGATGTCGGTGGCTTGCGCTTTATTTTCGATGCCATAGATAGAATAACGGTATTCGTAGTAAAATCACTGCACTGGCCGATATGTTCCTTCGTAGCCTGCGGTGCTTTTGATTATAAAGTGCGTAAACTCGGGTCGATGAACGAATTTGACGAGAGAATGAAGGATAATTATTATGCAATACAAAGCGTTTCGAAACGTCTTCGACGGCGAACTTCTGTGAACAGTAAAAATATTCCAGGCAAAATGTAAAATGTCCATAACTACAGGTTAGCTTTTGTTTGTTTTTGGTATCTTGGTGGATACGATGGCCTCTTCTCCTACTAGTATAGAGACACAAATAGACAGTTTTTTAGAGCAGTTCAAAAGAAGTGCTTCTAAAGCTATGGAAGAAAGAATGGACTGGCCTGATGGTCATTCGCCAGGTGCCGTCGTTAAATCCCGTAGCAGTTGTTTTACTCTGGACGCAGCAGCTGGTAAGTAGATTATAATAATCAAATAGTAGTACATTTACCTCATTATTTGTAACAAAAATAAACAATTGTTTCGTACTAAATGTCAACTGTAGCTAATAAGATTCTTTAATAAAAAAAAGGCAGGTACAACACATTTCTGTCTTATACAAATAAAATTTAATTAAAAACTTGTATCTATAATAAAATAATAGAATACATATTTATTATGATTCCAATTAGTCCCTAGAAACAGATTATATATTTATAATAATTTTCAGAAAATTATGCTAGGTAAAAAAACCTATCTGGTCTTATTTAAGCCACCAAGTCTCCTGGAATGGATAGCAGTACAATAAAATAATTATATACTTACATACTTGTATTGAATACCAAATTTCCAGCTTAATGATAATACTGACAAAAAATAATAGGTATCCCGTTATTATTCAAAATAATTATTACATTTTGATTTCTAGAATTGTTGATAATTCGCGCCTTTTCGTACAGAGTAGAAAGTAGAAAACTAATAATTTTTATCTTTATTTCGAAATTTTAAATTGCGAATTAATGAAGTGTCAGTAGTCTTATAATTAAATTTCATTATATTACGAACTAATTGCACTACTATGTACCTACTATGAAAGGTTCGAAAATTGAAATAATGAGTTAGGTATTTATAGAGTATAAACGAAATCGCGATATTGTTTGTTTATCTAGGTAAACAAACAACATAATGTAATAACTTGTTTGACTTAGCCTGCCTTTTATGTTTATTGATGTAATATTCTTCCACGTGCGTTTATAAAGTTCACTGCCGGGATACAAGGATGAAAGCAAACCATATAGCGCGTCGTGACAAATTAAACCCGAATTAACCACTTGGATCTCTAAAGGGGACTGCGTGGTCGATCTGATATGTATGAACAATCATCTCTTTTTGATACAGAAATAGGTGATGAAAATACATTCTAAACTGCATAAACAAATTATTCGATTTCTAAGAAATAGCGTCGATCGAGGTGTATGTTCATATTACTGGCGATTAAAATTCAAATATAAACTAAAGTATTTTATAGTAATATATGAACATAATAACTCAACATAATACTCTCTTAATTTGTACTTGATATCACACGCAAGTCGCAACTGATAAAAAGGAAATATCTGCGTAAAATTAGAACAATGTCCTATGGAGTTCTTCGTCGCTTAAATGTAACAGATAAATTAATTTAATCATGAGCCAATTACTGATTGACCTCACAACAATAAAGTTGTTTCTGAGTCGGTACTTACGTGTATTATTAGTGTTTATTACATATTCAGTGGATCAATATAATAATATGAACGGATATGTTGCTGACAAACTATCTAAATGCCTCGTTACGTGTTCCACGTCGGTGCGGACCCTCTTTGCCCTTGATGCCGTACTACAAAATATAATGAAAAAATATTATGAAAGATGCACCGACGTGTATTACCCAGGTACTACTTACCTATATTTTTAATTAAAAAAAAAAATTCTTGGACTTTCTACTGGTTTCACAACTGAGTCAAATGACTAATCGACAGATATTTTGTCATTCTTCAATACTTAATAACCTTATTGTATTTCACAAATTATTACGGACTTTAAAACTATTTATGGAGCATTTACCTACATTACATCGTCCCTAAATAACTCTATCGATACGACTTGACAGACGGATCGTGCGACTGTAAGAAGTTGGTTAAAATTAGCCAAATGGAATGAAAACTTCAACTGCTCGTGGCAGATAATATGTCTTTATATTGAACGTCATTGATTGCTGTTATACTCGTTGATCAAAACAATCACTTATTTATTCCACGCCGTCAAATTAAAAAATGGTCTCTTATTTATTCCACGCCGTCAAATTAAAAAGTGGTCATGTGCAGAATGCAAATATTATTTTTTAATTAAGCGTAAAAAAGACATTAAATCAACAAAAAAAAAACATTACACATTACCCCATATATTTGACACACACAAACGCATATATAATCTATATGCGTGTGTGTGTATGGTTCGTTCGAAGATCTTTTTGTATTTTTTATTAGTCGAATTCGACCACTGGACGACAATTAGTTATATTAATGTTATGTTCAGCGATCTCTTCTAAATTATCATCTAAGTTAAATAGACATTATAAAATGTCTTCTTTATTTGTGAAAGACATTTTACATTTTTTCTATGCTCTTAGTTAGTGCAAACCTATACCACGAAGACTCATAAGTGCGGTAGATTATTGGCAAATGTTATCGATCAGTTATAGCACAAATGTCGTAAACTATGTAAAATAAAAATGTGAAAGAAACAAAACAGGTACATATGAATCTACGTATTAATATTATAAATAAAGTATCCATAGTAAAGAATATACATTAATTATTTAATGGAGCTGAAGACACAAGCAGATGCAGAGAAGAACTAGACAGACACTATATCAGATAAATTAGGTAGGTACTAAACCAGTTTCTGATTAGTCATTTGTCTCTGGGTCCGATGTAAATGAATGTATTTTGCAAATTTATTTTTTGCAACCAGATGAATGTCAGGTATCCATCTTTTTGTTAACTCAGGTTCCCGGACTGTCGCAAATTTATAAAATTAAATTTGTTGGATATAATAGGCACCTTTATACCAACTCTATACTGTCATACTGTAGTATTTGAATTCATTTACTTTGCATAGAATTACATTGTATAAAAATAATTAAAAAATACCGAAGGAGTGCATTCTGGACAGACAGATGCCCCAAAGAATAAATATTTGTGATAAGGTCTTATAAGTTAAAGGCACAATTTCTTAGCTATAGTTTCTTTGGCTTTATACTGACGACATACTAGCTACTATACTAACCATAATAAATAGAATCTGTCGCTTGATAAAACAAAACTTAACAATTAATGTATAAACCTCTTAAAATATTTTCAGCGTATTTACTTTTTAGAGAAATTTAAATGTAGATGCAGAAGAAGAATTACCATGTCTTCGTCGTAATTTTATTGTCCCTCTAGGCCTCTGTCCAGGATTATGGATGGAATATGTTCTGATATGTGTAATTTGTAATGAATTGAATGAATTAATTATAAATAGACATTATCTATTGTACCCGCTTAGAATATTTTTGGCAATTATTTTTATTTTAGTATTATAATTACATACATATAACTTTATTTACATCAATACCGACATGGGTGATGTTTGAAATACGCGGGCTTTATCTAAAGCGAAGAGCGTCGATACGGAAATGCGCGACGGCAGCGCAGTCTAGTGGTGGCGCACTGTACTAATTACGTGTTCTACGGCGTCCTCAGAATTTGTTCACGGAAAGTGTATCGCCATATTGCTTCCGTGAATTTATTGAAATATTTGTTCATTTCTCTTAAATTATGACTGCAATATGAAAATAAAGTGAAATAAAATAAACCATAGAAGACCAGTAACTGTGGGAACACTTTTTTATGCTTGCCAGACTCTGATATTAAGGGAAAAAGGTGAGTTTTATTCTTCCTTTGCTATGACTATATGGCCCAATATTCCACGGGAGTTCGATCCGCTATGCGATAATGAAACTTAAAAAATGCGATTAAGGTTAATAATTGCGCGGTTTTTGTTATGTTTATTTACATGAATTTGAAAAGTTCTCCGCGGTTTTCTTATATTTACACCGGAGTTGTGTAGAATTTGTATGAATCTGGGCGGGTTTGTCGTGTCGCCTTTGTACATACACGTATGTAGCTGTACATGTGATTGACGTGCACGATCGTTTGTAGCGTGGAGCAAGCAGTATGTCGTTCGAGAAGATGGAGGTTGTAAACCCGGCGGAAAAGGAGGCGAGCGAAGTGCTACACTCGCTATTATCTGTCGAGAGACGGAGCGTAGACAGCAAGGAGGCAATCATCGTGTCCATACCGGCGGACCAGAACGGCGGCGGCGAATACGGCGAGAGTGCCCAATGGCACACGCCAGTTATGGGCCAACATTCCGTTTTCGAAATGGGTGCTCCACAGAACATGCAACAACACAATTACAATGGTCACCAAGAACCGGTATTTAGCCCTAATTCAATTTAAAATATTCTGCATGATATATAAAAAAATAAAATTAATATTATATATTAGTATACCTTAATGTATGGAAAATGACAAAGTTCAAATAATAACACAATCGTCTAATATTTTAGACCACAAATTGTCAACATAATAAAATCATTTACTCTCTGTAATCAGGAACTATTTACCATGGAAAAACAGAAAGTATTATTATTAATTGATATAGAAATTATTTTAAAATCTTATGTGATTGTTAAGCACATCCAGTTAAATTTATTCATTATTGTGTTACAGACTCATTTATTAGTAAAAGTTAAGATTTTTTGCCAGGTCTTGTCTGAAGCCTATTAATGAATTAGATGGTGGTGTAAATAAGTTGGCACACACTGGCAGCTGGTTAAAAATAACCCATAAATAAATAATTTTGCATCTTAAACTGATTATGCAATCAACTAAGGGCATTAATTTTAGAAGCATGTACTGAATCAAACTTTTATTAGTTAGTAATATAATTAGCCTTTTTTATTAATGGACATAGTACAATTATTATATAATAATTCATGTATGACTTCATCCTACTTAATTGCAATTTTCAGGTACTATGGCAAGGTCATACAATACAAGTAGAAAATGGAGATGCCAGTATGCAAGGCATTGCCACTTCATACACCATACAATTTGGTTCACAAATAGAAGGTGACACGGGTGAATTGGATGTGGAAACAAAGCCTAAAGTAGAGAAAAAAACTGGCACCAAAAAAAAGAGAAAAGCAGATTCAGATAGTGATGAAGAGGTTCTTGATAATAAACTAGAGGATAACCCTGCTCAGGTAAGTTTAATATTCTTAATTTTTATGAATAAACAGTGTATTCGATACTTACTAAATAAACTAGGTCTGTGAACTTACAGATAAATATTTCATGTGTCATGTTATGATAATGTGTATTATCATAAACATATATTCTGCTAGATATTTAGGTAACCCATCAATTAACATATAATATCACATTTTTTGTTGGTTTATTAATTGTAATAAACAGTAAGAAAAAGGAAATAGTATGATGCTATGTAGCACTACTTATTACAGATGTGAATCTTTGTAAGGACATTTGAATGCTTGTTACAGCTACTATGTGACTTAACTGACCTGAATGGTCTTGTTACACAGAGGAATAGAGCAATTCCATGGAATATATAATAGTGGCTAAATTGTCAATTTGGTCTGGCTGTGCTTCCATATATCTGTCATTCGCTATTTTCTGTATTTTCTTAATCTACCAGATAATTTTGTATTATGTGAAAAAAGAAATAATATGATGAAGCTAAAATATTTCAATATAAGAATTATCTCTCATCTAAAATTTTTATTAATTATGTTGTAATTTTAGTTTGTACTATTTTTATATTTTGTTGTTATTCAAATGAATGATGGCAATATTGACTAATGAATCCATGAAATAATGAGTCTAGTAAAGATATAATGTTTATTTAGAAATTTATCCATTTTAAGATCAGAAATATATTTTAACTATACTAACATTGAATAGAAATAATATTGTTTTATTAAAACTTTAAAATTAGAAATATAAATTTATTGTGTCATAATTTTTCTTACAATTTTATTAATAAAGTCATTTATATCATTTATAGGTCAAAGAAAGACTACTAAGAGGCTGCGATTGCAAAGACAACTGCTATCGTGGACTCAATCCAGAAGCTGTATATCGTCATAGGCTGAACATAGCGGAATTGACTAAAAGTGAGCATGACATGTACCTGATGGGCATCACAATGGCAAGTTTGGCAAACCCTGCAGAAACATCACGACATAAGGTTAGAAGGAGACTGCGAGCTTGTTACGTCTATCAAGGGCGAAAGGTTTGTTTAGAAGCTTTCTTATATTTAGAAAATGTTACACATTATCAGCTTAAGCGCATCAGGCAGCATGTAATGACACACGGCGTCGCGCCGCGGATACATGGCAATGTTGGCAAGAAGCCATACAACACCTTCACACTAGACATTTATAAACATGCTACAAATTTTTTAAAGGAATACTTAAAACAACATGCATGTTCACCTAAAGATGTTCAGCCATCTGGTGAGGGAGGTAAGAAAACTAGTAAAACTGTGATCATTCAAGGTGACTCCAGGAAACACTTGTTTGAAGCATACAAAGAGTATGGAGAAATCTTAGAGCCCGGTGTAAAACTTATGGGTTATTCAACGTTCCGAGCTTTTATGAAGGACCAGTTTCCACATGTCAAGTTTGCCACAAAGAAACAAGATCTACCAAAAGACATGGTGCCGTTTCGAAGTGGGAAATGTATGTCATATGATAAAAATAAAGATCCTATTAGAATACAGCAAGAAAAAGAAAAGGCTGAAGCTAAGAAGGCAGCTATGGAGGCTAAGAAGAAAGAGGAACAGGAAAGGGAGCAGCAGGCACAACAACAAGCCCAACAACAGCAGCAGCAACAACAACAAGTGCAGCAACAGCAGCAACAAGTACAACAGGTACAGGTACAACAACACCAGCAAATGCAAAACCAACCACATGTGGTCATACATCAGCAACAACCACAACAACAGCAGTCTATGCAGCAACAGATGTTAGTTCCTCAAGTGAGTCAACACCAACAAGTACTAACACAGCAAGTTGGTGGTGTCCAACAAGTGGGACAGCAGCATTGTGTACAACCTCTTGGTGTATCCGAAGAAGGTGGGCAACCAGTAGAAATGGCACAACAAGTCATTCCATTAGCTGTTGTGCAGCAACCTCAACAAGCTTACATTGTGACACCTGTTTCTCACTTCCAAACACGCGTCCAAGGTGCATGGTACAGACATTGACAGCAGCCGACAAATGGCTCTTCCGAGGTTTCAAGATATATGCAACTGAATAATAGAGAAATGATTTTAATATAATAAGATCTCATTGACTGAAAATGTCATCAATTTGTGAATGTTCTCTATAAAATTTGGTTGGTCTTGTAACGCTACACGTAACTTTGGCAATAAGTTAGCAAAGATAGGTTAACACCTTTTCAGTATTGGTTTTAAAACTGATTGTAACAATTTTATGTCTAAGTATAACCATATATACACGACTTATATTAGCAGTAGGTACGTAGTTTTATTTTTTATTCAGGAATTTGATTTTAATTTTATTAATCATTACAATTTCTTTTAGTGTGTCGTGCTATTTAAATAAAAATAGATGGTACATTATAGTACAAATAATTACGGTGATATGCCATTCGAGGTAACTCCCGTGCATCTTAAGATATTTGAATAAAATATTAGATTTAAACATTTATTTTGATACTAAATGGCCACTGTTTTCTTTATTCAAATGATCTTGTATAATTCATTAAGTTACATCTTACAATATATACTCATTTTTCTATGTTTAGTATCATCATACATAGACTTTCCAAAATAAAAAATATTGCCTTATTTTCAATTGCAGAATTCTATAAATAATTTAAGGCAATAGTAAGATTTTGTTATAGTATTACAAAATAACATACCCTGATCTAGCATAGTAAAGGATAATAGAATTTCCAGAACAGCTAAAATTCTGTAATTGTTGAACCTGGTTTCACAACTTTTATTTAATTGATAAAGCAGTGCCTTCAAAGTTTGGTGTGAAATAAGGACAAGTTTTAATAATATTTTTTTCTTCAAAATTAGGATTTAGTATTTTACCTTTGTAAAGCGTAGGTTTATTTTAATTAAGTCGAAATATCAATTTTTATATAAATGTATGGATTTCTTAATTCTATTGAAAGTTAGTAGAATTCATATTTATTTCGTATTTACTCCTTCATAATCCTATAATTACATATCAAAGAAAATTTGACAGTACGGAGCCAGTGTAACTGAAACTGAACTGAATCTTATTCATAGAAACTAAAACTTTCTACAAACCCAATTCACCTATTAGAGTGTTTTGTCACTTTTATATTTAAGAAAACAGCCCAGGAGAAAAAGACAAATCAATTTATTAGCTAAAATGGTTGAATGTAGGGTGTCTGAGGTTTTTATGAATAAGGTTCTATGCTTATATTTGTACTTTTAAAAATTATTTTACCATATTAATTTTTTTTTATTTTTATTATACTATGAAAAGTAATAATTATTACTATATTATTTATACATTTTAATTTCACGATTCATCACCATTATATTGAGATAATTATGGTACATATTTGTATTGCTTATTTTAATTCACAGTATGAATATTATAAGTTAATACTGTTGATATAATTTAGGACTGAAGAGAGGATTTGGAATAATAATTGTAGGGATTACAGAAATAAAAGCGAAATAGTATTTTATATACGGATTTCATTTGAAAATGGATTTCAAAGGTTTAGGTGCGGACCTATTGTAATACATCACAGTTAGTACGTGATACTTGACGATGTTTTATTTGTAAATAACACATGTTAATCGGTCATAGCAACGTTAAGCAATAGTAAAATTATAAGGCGTGTCTTAACATTATACAGCATGTAAACATTTAAAGTATATCATTGTATTGAACAATGATCTGCGTTCACTGACATGATAGGTGATCAAGGATAATTAAAAATGCATTATAAATGACTATAACTGTCTTATTTTTAATATTTATTATTTTAAAAAAGAATTATGTATTTAAATTTGTCTGAGCTCTCTAGTTAGATTTATATCGTCTTTTTAATCATGTTGTGCCGTGTCATTGATATACCTTATTAATTTTTTATAGCTATATCACAGCAAAATACTTCAATTGTATATGTGAGTGCAAACATATGTTATCTAACAAAATGTAGTTGAAATCTCAATCTAATTCTATAACCATATCATGTCCTGTCAGTGAACGCTAGCTCTATTTTTCTATAGGTATTTGCGTAAAATAAACTAAAAGACATTTACCGTATGAATGACTCTCTGAATATTTCCAATAATATACTTAGTTATGCTTCCAATAAGTTTTGATATTATATCGGTTTCAATTAAATTATTCTACATATTGGTATTTTAACATAAAAGTTGAATAGTTAGGGCTGTGCATACGGGACAACTATTTGTATTTTTTAACTTCCAAAATAAAAACAACACTCAAACAAAATACTTCGTCTCAATAGGCCTTTATTGGAAATGACCGCAAGTTGTGTACCTTACGATGTGATACGAAATAAATTATATTTCCATTAAAAGGTTTCCTTTCATATTATTCAATGTACTGTAAGGAATGCTAGTTGTCAGTCGGGAGGTGAAAATAAATCTCATTTAGTTTGAGTTAGAGATAGGGTAATTTATATATATAACTGATAGAAGCGTGTAATCATAATCATAAATACTGACACTACAGAATTGTGCCTAGAAAGTATGCTTATCCATGTATTTTTATAGTGCAATAAATAAATGTGTGAGTGATTCGAAGCAGATATTTTGGAGATGATCTTTTAAGTGAAATATTATTACAATTTTCCATGTTGTACTGCATACGTGCCGAAACAAAAACCTAGAGATTTATTTTACCAAAGCAAGTAAAATTTGCTTCGAATCGTAGTGTTTGGCCCCTAGAGAATGATTTTTGGCATCTATGTTCCAAATCGTAGGAAGACTTGTGATAGAGAAAATAAACTTTTTTACTCTAGTGTATATTTTTTATTTAGTAACCCGTTCAGTTGTAAATAGTGTAAGCGTTAGGTGTGTGGTCTGAACATTTTCGAGGCTCCCACGCCTTCCGCGCTCCAGCGTCGGGTCGCTGTTGCGCTTCGTTATAGCCAGAGATTGTACACCGGGGTATACGTTGGCCGCACTCGCGTTGCTTTACTCGCTTTGCTGATTGGGTTCCGTTCCTGCACCCGTCCACTACACTTGGCAATTTAATAAATTCACGCGCCGTCCGCTTGTAAACAAAAGACATTGTTTCGGCGAAGCGGGCAGTTTGATGATGACAACTTGCCTTAACGGCCGCGCGCAGTGACATCTTATACTACACGGTGACCTTCGACATACGCTATGAAATTTTGGAAGTGTAGCACGAAAAGCGAGCGACGCGCTGCCGCTATCGGTAAGCTGAGTTATAATTGTTTATAATTATAAATGATTTCTTAACAAGATCGATTGCTTGCTATGGCATTTTCGCGAGTACCTAACCTTATTGAATTAACCTACTTTCTGGATATTTCCTAAACGATTTCTACAATTTGTCTTGATTGAAGATTGCGGATGAGACAATATCTTGTGACACATTTATTGTTTTCAATTTACTTTCATTATTTTATTTAATGGTTCATAAAAAGTTGTCATTAAAATTATTTTACACAAAACTTCTATTTCGCATTGTGTTCTTTACCACAATTCTATATATGGGTACGACAGGTGTTATGAGTATCCATATATATGTACCCTGTTTGGATCAAGATACCTTTTAAACATGAAAAAAGGCAATTTGACATCTTTTTTATTCTAGGTTTTAAAAAGAACGTCAGAATCCTTTCCATCCATCTATAATGATACATAATACATTTCAACAATATATTAATTCATATAATAATAATAGAAGTAACTTGAAATAATTATAATAATATTAATAAATTTATTTTTAATAGATTTTGGGTACATATATATATGTCATGAAAAAAGAAAGAAGATTAAAAAGAAGAATATGACTGTATTTTTTTAGACTTAGATTATCGGCAAAAAAGGGTTCTTGGATTATAATGTCTCGCTTTACCTATGCCCTCTAATCTAATAATCCATTTAACAAGCGTATCCTTATTTATGATGTGCTAATTACCTAATGATTTCGTATGTTCTTCGATTAAACCTGCTGTAGACATCTTGTTGAACTAACAAGTCGGACGTGTGACCTTGCTGGTTAATTACCGTCTGACCAAAAACAAATCTCGAATGACGACTTACAAAAAATAATTATCTAAGGAACCATAAAAACTACATTACGCGTGTCGCGTTGTTCACACTTCTGACATACATCTGTAGTTATGAATCGATAAATTAGTCATTATATTACCTCCACCTACAAATATGCAAATAAGTACACGGCTATATTGAATTGAATTGATATATTTTTTATGAATTTGAGGACATCACTTTTATGATCTTCGGATACTTCTTTAATGGATTGATGTACCCGTCTGCTGTAACAGTGTATGCTGGCGTGGCACCCGTGGATGGTGATAGGACGACTTAGCCTAACGGCTTGAGTTAACCACGGTGCTTCTCAGGGGACCCTGTGCGGGTCGACATAGTATGAGTACCTACATATTTGCTAGCAATGTGGCCAGTACGCCTATTTACTGAAAATCCCATCTCCCCAACATGAGAAGTTTATTTGCTACTTTACTATTTCAGGTACTAATGTAACTATAGTCGTTGATTAACCGTTATTGAAAGCCATCCCAAATTGGCAATACGTGTATACATATTAAGTTTTACAAGGAATGATAGAACCGTTAAGACTAAGATAACAAATACACTTTCACATTAAGGATTCGAATTTCTATATTTGTTATTTTTGTAATATTCACATGAAATAGGCAAGTGAAGTTGTAATATATTAATAAATCAATATAAACAAGTAGCAATCTATGGTATATTGCTAGCAACTTGACCATTTAAGATCACATCCATGTTGGAATTCATCGTGACCGTTGACTCACCTGAGTGCATTCTCATCCCCTCATACTTGACTGGTGCCTTGACAGCTTAGGTATAGTATAGTAGTTTGTGTAGCGGGAGCACCATTGAACATTCATCCATTTCGTGTTGCCAGTAAAAAAACGAACGATGGGAAAGTATCTACTTAACTACTCATAAAATACTGAATTAATATAATTTTATCGTAATTCGATATTTGATTGACAACAGTTAAATTTCCATCTATTTTTTTATTATTGTGATAACCATCAATCAATCAATGAAATGCATTACGCCTGTACCGCGTAATTTTGATTTTAACATTTCAGACTGCCATCCAGTTCCAAGCTAAGTCGAGTTTATGTTATGGGTACTATAGAAATGATAGTAATACTTATATAGTTTTTTTTTGTAAATATATGTATACATAATATATATCATACCAGTACATACAGCCATACGACAAAGCTTTGCAACGTACGAGGAATTGAACCCGCGATTATCAGAAGTAAGGTGGTGTGCCCGACCACCGAAGTCGGCGGTAATTCTTCGGTAATCTAACTTAACCTGAAAAATTTCGTATTCTGTATACTGGGTGTAAATCTACTCATGCGGAAGAGCACGAGAAGTGTTGTAATAAATAATGAAAGGTGCGCTCATTACTGCGTAACGAAACTGGACTTTGTACGCATACTGAAGGTGTTTCCTGTACATTTATTG